GTTACACATGAGCTGGTACACTGCATTTCTTCGTAAACACATTATGGTGTTAGAGATAGGGCATTTGTCTCTAGTGTATTTGCGCTCTGTGGAGGTGTGGGATAGGGCTCATCTGAGAGTATAGGATTTGTGAAAGGTTGTGAAAGGTTTGAACCCAGGAGTCATTTCAAAAGTAGGTTGAGTTTGATCGTCCAGTTGAACGTAGTCCTGAATAGGACTGTTGTTGTTGACAGTATAGGATTTGTAGTCAATGCGTACGGGGATATTTTCTTTTTTAAAAATGTTAGTGATCCTGTGATTGAGTTGTTCAGAAATGTACAAGATCTTAAGGTATGACCATTCTGTGTTGGCAGGTTTAGGCGCTTTGTTGGGGGGGCTTTGTGGGCATTTTGTCTGCTCTATACTGTTCTCTGGATAACCGTTAAGCGTAAGGCGAAGGATACCATCAAATGTGTTTAGGTGTTGTGTTACAGACATATGTGAGGAGCATCTGTCCTCAATGCATTTTGATTTGTTGCGAATGAAGTTGAGCTTGGATTTGGTGGGAATAGCTGATTAATGGTGGACAAATAGTGGTTTCTTGGCTGGCTTTTTGTAGTATAAGTGCCTATCAAAGTTAATCCGCAAGGTGGGGAGTGAGTGGGGTGGGCTACCCATAGGAGTTTGATTTTCATAGCTGTCCACAGGGTAGGGGTGTTAGTAATATGTGCAAAGACCTCGAGTGTGGGTTTTTTTTACATAGTCCCCAACTTGTAATGAAAAGGTCATGAATCAGAGACCAAAATTTGACATTTGTCAGGTATCTAAGGGTTAGGGAATTTGGCAATGGCTTCACTTTTAAAAGGTGTGAAAAAAAAATGCCCTGGGTTTGCCTGTCCCTCTTCCATATAGATGGTTTTCACAGTGATGTCATCAAATTGTAAAGTCAAAATAGCAAGGTTTTATGAATTCTTATTTACACTAAAAACAGTTGAAGATAAACAAAAATTAAACTTTGTACAAGTTTCCATTCCCGTAGCATGTTTCATTTCGAGAATACAGCAATTTGAACTTCCGAGTTTTCACAGTGCGTGACACCAAAATAGGAATGCTGTCTCGTTGAAAAAAAAGTCTCTCCTATTGATTTTCAGCAGTATAACCGTTTCAAGTGTTAGAAGATATGTTTATGCGTACGTATGCAAGTTCTCGAGTGAATAGACCATATTAGTGCCATATTGGTGCACCAAAACGGTACACCAACATGGCGTCTCCATACAAAGCTCTACAAAGGTGCGTGAAACGTTTCGGCAAACAACTCAGAAACTGTGGGCCACAAAGACCTGAGACTTGGACAAATTGTTTATATATTAGTCTTTTATAACATTTCAGTTTTTTGGCTTCTTCCACTGGACGGTTTCCAATTTATTTTTTTGTTGCGTGACAGTGAAAACGATCTTTAGTACTATAGTCGGCTTAACATTGATAGCTGCATTACATACAGTGTACACTTGCGAATAAATATACACATATATCAGTTGAAATAATTAGGCAAGTTTCAGCATATGCTTGAAAAATTGTTTTCTTTTATAATGCTTTCAGTCCCTAAACAGTCAATATTAAATGAGCGAAAAATTAAGTTTTAACTCCTGAGCCTCTGCACTGCACAAGACCTCTCTATCAGTACTTTCACATTGTAACATTTGTTTCTAACTGTTATACAAAAGGAAAGTTCGTATTTCTGCGAATAATTATGATTTGGTTCGTGCACTCATAGAAGCAATAAAAATGTTAAAACATGACAAAACATACTGCAACATACCGGCTGGCCACCTTCTGCTGGTTTGCAGGCTTTAATACCGTACTCTTCCTGCTTTGTATGTCTCCAAAGTTGTAGATTTCCTGCTCCACTGGTCTCAGCTGAAAATGAAATGGTACCATGTAGCTTACAAATCTTACTATAGCCCAGCACAAGTAAGGACTGGGACATTTTGTTAGCCATTGTAAACGGGCCTCAAGCACTAGCACTGGCGTAGTCAGTATCGGTATGTGCTGTGAGTAGGGTTATTAAAGTGTACCATCAATTTGAAGATACTTATGATACACTTTATTGACCCTACTTAACGTCCCTACTGCTTCAGCACTCAGCAGTGCAGACCGTGTAGACTGTGCAGACAATAGGCCACATGCACTAAGAGGTCACGTGACCAATGCTTCCTTTAAACAATGAGTTGGAATCTTGCTAATGCCAAAAATTGACAGAGCACATAAAAATTCTCTCACACCCGAAATTTGAGAGGAAACGCATTTAAGGGAGATATTTTATGGCACTTTGATTTTTCAACAAAGCAGTGGGATTTGTATTGGCCGCCACGGAGGGCATACTCTTGCCTTCCAACATGGCGGCCAAAACTACTTTTTGCTTCTATCTTGTTAATAGTTACGCTCAGATGTCCTGTAAAAGTTACCACATCATCTTTTCAACATTTTCCTTGAAGTTTAAGTGCAAAACTTGCGTTCAGAAAGATGTAATTCATAATTTTAAAAATTACGTTTTGGTCACGTGACCAGCTACAAACGTACTCATTTTAAAAAAGTGCTGCGGGTTTGAAAAACCAAATCACTATTATTTTGTTTAAAATGTGACCCACTAATCGTTTTTCGAAGGTAAAATCATAGAACTTTAATTTTCAGAAAAACGATGTCATATGACCTCTTATTGCAAATGGCCTATTCTATTATTTATTGTACCTGTTTTATCATGACAAAGAAAACTTAGTCTGCGAGGTAAGTTGCTGCTTTGTTTCCCTCGAAAGACCACATCCACAGAAGACAAACTAATTTGTCAGGTTGAGATAAACTCGATTTGACTGTCTATGTGTAATGTAATTAGCTGTAGAGAGCTACCACCAAAACGCTGCTAACCTTGGAGTGCGCAGGGGTGGTTTTCCCTCGTGTGCGGAAAAATCCCCAGACCACCACTGCATAATTGGAAATTAGTGTGAAATGTCATCTGTCTCTTAGATCTTCGTCCCGCCCCCGATCCTGAACGGGCAGCAAGGAGAGAGAGACGGGACGCTGGGAATTCAAACGTCTCTCTCGCATTGCCGCCTGTTCAGGTTGGGGGTGGGGCGAAGACAGAGGGATAACATTTCAGACTTCCTGGAAATGCGTAGTGCGAGGACGCAATCGCACCAAGAAAGGCGCAAAGGGACTCTTGAAGAGCTGCCTGTTCCCCTGTGTATATATCTGGCCGAAGTTTTGAAAATTTAGAAAATTCGCGCGGGAACCAAACGATAACAAGATTTCTGGTGACAGCGGGAAGAATTTTCAGTGGGGGCTTGCTGTCCTGATTGGTCTCATCGTCAAGCTCAGTCCCTGGGCTAAAATGCCATAGGGGTGTGGGGAAGGGGCCTCCATGTCAATTCCTAGTGGGGGAGGGTGCTGCAAAAGCATGGTATGGTCCGTTAATCTCCCTAGAGAATCAGGTCACTGATCATGTGTCTGCTTGAAGTTTTTCACGCCAAATTTTGTAAATGTCTCACGTCGACTGGCCAATAAAAGGATTCCCCTCACCCTTTTGCTCGGCTGGGAGGCCGTGTCAGGTCACGAGGTTGGGGTGATGTGGCCTTGAATTCTCTGCTTAGGGCTTGCTTAAGTCTCAAACTGACGCTGTCATGTAGAGTCTTAAAGCAGCTAGAGTGTATGGACACGTTGAGTGTGTCTCTTTGATGGAATTGAATGTTTTTTCTGCCAATCAGGAACCAAGAAGAGAGTCACCTTAGAGAGCTTATAGATAAGAGCTGATCGAGTTTCTTTACAGTGTTTGTACTTTATTTAACTCAAATTAAGCCGTGTTGTCTCGAGTTGCCAGCTGGTCCGGTTTTCATAATTCGGAAAAATATAAAAGGGCAAAAAAGAGAGGCCAATATCTAGCTATCTTTACATACCAAGCTTGGTCAATCAAGGATTTATTAGATGGCCAAAAAGAGAACTTTTCTTGCGGGACCAACGCGGCAAATCCCAAGTGCCGGCGGTGCAAGATTGGCCCCTTTTGCCCACTGAGGTTCCCAATCAGAACGCAACATTCGCTTCATCTTGCCCACTCGCGGATTAAGCCATATAATGAAACACCAGACTGGATGCGCTGAGGGGCTGGTGCAAGGCGCTTAGAAAAACAAAAACGCATCACGAAATGTGGGATAAAAGTAACTTGGAGATAAAGTACGGAATGTATTACTGCAGTATAATTCCCATCCTATAACCCGGTTACTTTTCTCTGATACACAAAGCGGACGTTGTTTCTATTCTAAATTGTTTTTTCTACATTGTTTGTATTCTACACTCTAAGCACTTTTTTATTCAGTAGGAGCCCTTATAATCTCCTGCATTGGACCTCTTTTTTATAACATAAAGATATTTTTCAAATCATTTTCATGAATTTTTAGTACCTTATATATTATTTTTGAAAAGAAAAAGGAAAGAGCGGGATTTTTTTTATAGTTGTATACGTTCTTGCAATTCAACCTTTTTAGGGAGGCCATAGGCTGATGCCCTATGTGACGTTGGTATTCGTATTTAGACGTTTTAAAATTAAATGTAATAAAAATGATGATGATGATTAATTTCATGACGACAATGGCGATGACGGATGATGATGGTGATGATAGTGATAAACTGATGACAAATGGTATGAACAGCAACCAGAAGTTGAGAATTCCAATGTTTCTGGAACTAGTTTGGTAGGAGCAACTACCCAAAGGCTCAGTCTTCCTTTGTGAATAAATCGTTTTCACTCACGCGGTCAGCAGCAACGCAAATTTCTTGGAACAAAATACATTTTTACATAAGGAAAGAGTCAAATTTCTCCGCGATTATTTCTGTACACCAAAATGGCCGCCGTTTCATTGTTTACACCAATACGACCCTGAGATCATGTGAAAACGATCTATATACATTGTACCATCTCTAATATTGGCTACTACTGGGTCTCTTTGGATGACGGTCTAAATGCCCGATTAGGCTACTAGAGCATAGGATTTCAAGGGATTATATGCGCTGAATAAGCTTCTTCAATGATATCTTCCATATTTGGTCTTTGCTCAGGGTCTGACTGCACACAGCCCCGTATGAGGCCTCGAAACACGTGATTTGTTACCAGGGCAACTTGTTCCTTGCGCTGGTTTGGATCTGGCATTTCCCGGGTACACATTTCGCACAGGAGAACTCCAAAACTATACACGTCAATCTATCAACAAAAACAACATTATAAATATCTAGGACACCTTCTACAACAACACTACTCACTTCAAACTTTTCTAACCAGCGTAGCTGGCGGTTTCTTTTTATTGTCATGTTTCCTAAAGCAAGGGATCTGGCTCCGCGAAAGCTGAACCCAGTTCAAATGAGAAAGAATGGGGGAGCAGGGAAGGGGACAGTTCTCTATGAATTCTTTCTTTTACCCCATCCTCTACCTTTTTCTCTTTTGACCTCTTACTTTAAGAAGCATGAACGAGATATGCCCAAAGCAACCACCTGCTAAGTCTAAACTTTGAGGAGCTAAGTAACAACATAAAAAGATTTCACTTAAGAGTAGTCTGAAATGTTACATGTCTCCACCCCCTAACCCATGGGGGGTGCGGGGGAGAGAGCCCCCCATTGGTTAGGGCTGAAGATGTATGACATTTCAGACTAAGTTAAGAAAGGTTTTTGACAATTGTGACTGCACAGTTTTAATAGTTCTTCAAAAGTTATTTTTGCTGTTTATTACCTTAAAAGTCATATAACACTTTTTGTAAGGAAAAAAAGCAAGAATATATTATTTTAAAATGCGGCATGCCACTGAAATCTTTTGCAGTTCATATGGAAAGGGTGAGGTATAATCGTATAATATGAGTAACAGAGCCTACATTTCAGAGTTTATGTAACAATTCAGTACTGAATTCAAGGAATAAGGTTTCACAAAGTTTTAACTCATTAGGTTTTAGTGCAGCAATATCTAAACTTAACCTCTGACATGACACCTTTTTACAGGAAAATTTACCTACTATTCATGCTTATGTTGTAAATAAAATCAAAGCAAAGTTAGTAGTTACTAACTATGACTACAGCAAGGGCATCACTTAAGGTTTACCACTGCATCTAAAGTTGGTTGACTAACCTTGACTGTTTGGTTTGATGTAAGTGCTTCAGGTGCACTGTAAATCATAGCTCCAGGAGCCACTGTCATGGTCTGCTGCATGAAATTAGCAGTGCCATAATCTGACACTTTGCCTCTCCACAGATCACCTTGTTGCCATAGCAACACATTAGCACTGCTGACATCCCGATGAATGATTGGTGGTTTACTTTTGTGCAAATAGTTCAATGCTAAGGCTACATCTAAAGAAATGGCTGTTATTTCTGCCTCAGAGAGTTGTCGCCGCTCCAGTAATCCCCGTAAACTTATTTCCATGAGCTCCGTCACAAATAGAGGACTCCCTTCATCATTAGTTGCACCAATGAACTGCAGTAAACAGGGATGCCGGCACCGTGCAGCAATGTTCATTTCTCTCTCAAACAAACGTCTGTTATGAGGAGACAAAATCAACTCATGGATCTGTTTCACAGCAACTTGACAACCTCTAAATCTTCCAAGGAAAACTTTTCCCCACCCTCCCACCCCTAAGCATTTATCAGTCAAGTGTATCTCATCTCTGGATATCATCCAGTCACAAGGTTCTTTTTGTCTGTATTCCTCTAGTGCTTGTTGAGCAGTGGACAGTGTTGTTTCCAGTTCATGTATATGTGCATCCTTGGCTTTCAACTGTCTTTGCAAGTTACAAATCTCCTGTTCAGCTTCCTCCTTAGCAAGATGAACTTGTCTAAGTTCATCGTTAAGGCATTCCTGTTGAGAAAACCAATCACTTTGTTCTTTCTGCCAGTTACTCTGCTCAAGCTTCAGTCTTTTAAATTCATCCTTCAACTGCTGCATACTTGAACCATCTGCAATGAAATTTTACAAGGTAGATCAGTGCAAAGAGTTGAAGTTCACTTACATTTGACTTGAGTTGACTTAATCTCCACTTTTTCTTGTTTATTACATAGATCTACTAGGCTTTCGGTCACTTGAGTTCTTTTGCTTTTGTTACATCGTGACACTGTAACTGAAGAACTGACACCCCTTGTTTGTGTTTCTGTAATAACATAATCTTCCACTTGAGTTAGTGTCCTCATTACTTGTTACTTGAGTTAGTGTCCTCATTAGCGAGAGCCTGTAATAGCGGGACTATACTTCAGTCAAACATCTGTAATTCAATTTTGCCTGGGATTAAGCTGCTATCTGTATTATCAGGGTCGTCCGTTATAGCGGGTTTCCACAAGGCAAAAGTTGATTGTACAAGCCTAAACAAGCTACACAGTGTCAGTGCTAATCAAGATACTTTTTGAATTTACCTGTAGTTGCCTTTTTAAGCTTCAAAAAGTTGTTTAATGTGTTGTTCAATATGGAGGAGGGCTTGTAACAGGATGTTTTTTTTGTTTACAGGTAAATGGGTCTATACAAGGTAACTAAGGGGGGGGGTGGGTAGAAGCAGCAGGTATTTTACTTTAAACAACTTGATTAAAAGATGTATGTACTTAGGGTGGCTCGACTGGATTTTTTAGGGGGGATACCTCCCAAGTTTGAGCATTAACTACGTCAGCATGAGTTAAGTTATGGGGAAAATGTTACCATAACTGTATTATATAAAGATGAAAATTTCTTTAAAAAAAATTCTTATGATCTGGGTTTTATTGCAATCGGAGTCGCCGTGGCAACATAATGATGCCATTACATTTTTTATTCATCTTTGCATTTCTCTGTACCAGAAGCTCTTTTAAGAAATCACTTAAGGGAGTGCCCATGCACATGAAACTTGAAAACAATGCCAGTGAATAATGAGGACACTCACTTGTGAACACAAAATCTGGGGGAAACATTGGTTATATGTGAAGCCCTATTTAAAAGCCTTTTCTGTTTTTAATGTTCTTGAAACTTGCAGGGTATATTTATTGATGATTGATCTCGGTATTGTCAAGTTTATTAAAAAATTCATGTAACAGTTTTTTGAATAATGCAAAATTTGTAGGCATGGACCAAATTACATGCAAAAACTGTAACAAAAGCAGCTGAATGCAGGTTAATAAAATTCTTCTAACTTGCGATTGCCCAGGGCAATTCCCCGCTTTTTTTGACTAAGAGATGAAGCCATGTTTCCAAAGCTTATCATTTTTGTAAAATATTAGCCAATTGTGCAGATAGCATGCTATTTCACCATTTTTATGATTCTTAAAACTTTGTTTCAAAGTATTTCCAAACACTCTCATAGAATATTATTGTTCAAACTTTGCCATAATTGCCTGTACATACTCCCTTAAGCAATTTCTTAAAAAAAACTCCCAGTACAGAGAAACACAAAGATAAATAAAAAAGTAATGGCGTCATTACGTTGCCACAGCAACTTCGATTACAAGAAAGAAATTTTCATCTTTATATAATACAGTTGTGGTTACCTTTTTTTCATATCTTGACTCATGTTGACATAGTTAATGCTCAAACTTGGGAGGTATTCCCCCTAAAACATCCAGTTGGGCCACCTTTAGAAGAATACAAAGGTTACCACAAGGTGCTTATGACCAGTCAACAAAAATGCAGCCCACCTGAACTAATGTCTTGCATTATTCGTTCAGCATCCTGATTTGTTACTAACTGCATCCACTGTGGTACTGATGGTGATGTAGGTGATGTGATGGAAGCTATTGAACCTACGGTACTTGGCATTCCAAGGAATGGAAACAGAGACAAAGGCTTGCTAGCATTAGTGAGGCTTGTTCCTTGATTTCTTGCACATGAAAAGCCATTTGCCTTAAGTGAGGATGGATTTGAGCCACTATCCATGATTTCCTGTGCCCCTTTGGTTTCAAGTTGTGGATTATCAGCAGTTGAGTAATGTGTATCATAGTTATTGCTAGTTAAAGATTCAGTTTGGTTTGAAGAAAAAGCCTCCACAGCCTCATTCAATACTACTGGAGTAACTCCCATGGGAAATTCTCCCGTTTTCATGGTTTCATTTACTTTCGCACTTTCAGATGGAAGGCTGGAGTTGTCCCTCCTCCAAGGAAGTCTTCTCCGTCCTCTATAAGAGTCTGCTGTTTCAGGCTTGTGTGTCTCTCGCCACCCTCGCGGCATTTCTAGTGTGATGCTCCCCCCTCTACATAGCAGTCAAGCCTATTTGACAATCAACAGCAACACAGATTAAACAAGGCTGTGCTCTAAAAAAATCATGCTCAAGATGTTCAAAGCTCTGATCATGACAAAATTTCCTGGTGTCCAGCAGACAAGAAATTTTCTTGGTGCTCAAAGACAAAGTAATAATAATAATAATAATGGCTGATCCAGGAGGGACGAGGTTCAGTGAATCAAGTTACAATTTTTACCAATATTGGATAGCATCTAATTGCTATAATAATAAAACCAGGTATATTTAAAATGAAGAGTTACAAGGAATGGGTGCCATTTCTTGTATTCCAGAGGACTAAGTATGATTATTGATCAAAATTAATAGCAAAAGAAGACTGGCAACACAGAGAAACCGGGTAGTATTTGCATAGACTGTGGGCAGTTTCTCTTTTGCTTGAAAATCTATGAGAGACCACAATATGATGTTGATGTGCACGCACCAGTGCCTGCACATCTCCTGTATGATCTCTATCACCTTAAATGACCTTTCTTCTATATCTTCTTGAAAGTATTCTTTTTAGAACAATTTATTTACACTGATACAACAATATTATAGCTTTTGAAGGGGGATGGAGTGCCCCAGATTTTGTGCAAATGCCTCATGGAATAGACCTCGTTTGCTTGTATGTTTTGTTTTTGCAATACAAGTCATTTCATAATACTCTAAACATTTGTTTCTTTCAAATTTCAACTTAGTCAAGTGCATTATATCTACACCTATATTAATTCATGAAAAGACAAAGGGTCAAGTTCCCCTGGGACCTCAAATGGAAACCATGGAAAAGCTTCCTCGGGCTTATCCACGGCCCCTAGTGTACGCAGAAGTAACCTAATAGTGCTACAGATTTCGTTACAATTGTTGAGACACATTCAGATTTCTTTTCATCCAAAAGTTAGCTTGTAAATTTGGTGAAACTGATCGAACGACACGGAAAGAGAACTCTATGGAAAGGTGAAGTAGGGAAAAAAATTTTTTACCAGTGTTCTTATTTGATCTAACAACGTAAGTGTTAAAGAAGCGTTATACAAACCGTTTAAAAGCGCTCCTAGAATGGGGACCGACGGTAGAAGTCGAATTTTTTGCATCGATCATCTTCACATCAAGGGACACATCAAGAGCTTTGACCAGAGCTTACCAGTATTGTAACCCAAGCCCCTCTCCGTTTTTAAAATGGCGGCTAAACCTACCCCAGTCTTCTCACGGTTACATGTAATTTATTCACGCTATCCATGACGATATGGAAGGAGTGTTCGAAGGTGGGTCGCGCTCAAATGGAAAAGTCTTTGTACCTTGCCCATGTACTTTATTGTATCATGAAAAATACAGAGCGGCTGACGTTGGGCTTTAATTTTCAAGCAGGAAAGGGTAACTGACAAAGTGAATAACTCGAGAAGATCGTCGCATATTTGCAAGTGCTGCCACGACATCTTTGAATCGAGTAGGTGGAAACATTTTCGCTTTGTCATCAAGGAAATCGAGCTGAATTGACTTCGATCCTGTTTATATCCAGGGCGTGGTAGTTTATTTTTAGCATTGAAGCCTTGAAATCATCTTCGAAGCTATGGAGAAGAAAACTTACTACATCCTTCTTCGAGATTTGGAAGACCCTTCGAGTCAATCGTCTGCGGGAATGTTATGGGGAATGTTGTCAAATTACGTCTACGGGACGCAACCACCTTTGGCTCTTAAGGGAGAGCTCTTTGAATCTCTTCCTGCCGCAGATATCACAACAGCTGGAGTCGAAGTCGAAGACAAGGTCGCAGTATGTGGACTGAAGCAGAAATGTCTCCAAGTGGAGTGTCCTAAGGAAGACTTACAAATTATCAGTGACAAAGATACTCAGCTCTTGTTGGCCGTCCAGTCCTATCATCAGAGGTGTAGATTGTTGAAAGATAGGCAGGATCTTCTTAAATGGGCTGTGGCTGATCATGAGGGATGTCGTGTATCTGTATGGATGGATGAGTTAAAGAGAGACGTCCCTGCTTTTGTGCATTACAAAGGAGCCCTGCCTCCTTATGATGGAATCATGTTTGGAGTTGAGATTGTGGTATGTTTTTTCCTTTTTTTGAGGATGGGGGGGAGGGGGGGTAGGGATACATGGGTGACATCTAATGAGAAAATGGAAGTGAGGTACTGTCATAGTGCATAATTGTAGACAGGAGTCAAATGTAACCTTAACCACACACAGATTGCTCTCCTTGACTCTACAAAAATCATCCGAAAAAAATCGTAAAATATCAGCGTTAATTGTGATTGCCACCAAATTTAGCACAAAGGAAGTAGATAGTTTTAGCAAATTAATAACATGGCTACTTTCAGCCTCTGACCATGAAAACCTTTGGCACTCGAATTTTTGAAGTTTTTGTAAAAAATGGATGGTGATGTGGGAAGAATTTGAGGTGGCTTTAGTGGTCAAGAAATACTTTTGGCAACAAAATTTCCTCAGAAGGAGTGTCTCTTTCCTAAGAGGTATAGCTTTCTATGCTGCTCTTTATGACCTCTGAGAAATTTATTTTCAAAGTAAACTATATTGATTTTGCTCATTTTTGAGCTGTCCAGGAAAGAATTATAACATAAGCATTTTAATTTTAATTTTAATTTTCTGACAAACTTTCGATCCCCATCTCTTTCTGGGAGTGCCTCCTGGAAATTATTGATATACTGCTTGAAACTGGCTTGAGATAGTAGAGGAGAGAGAACTTTTCCACTTTTGAATAATGCCTGGCCAGTTACCTGATCAGGGAATGACAGTATACCCCTTTGAAGATGTGAGGGCCCCGGGGGGGGCTACTCCCATATATGGGCTATATAGGTACGTGCCACGGAATAGGGTATGGTTTTTGAGGTTCTCAGTCCTTAAATAGGGTATCTTTTTTGACCCTTTTGTTTCTGTGTCCCTGGTGTGGTCCTTAGATAGGGTAGCTTAATTGTATTATTTAATATTGGAGTGTGAAGACGCCCGCCGAAACAAACAGTTTTTTTTTAAACTTGATGTATCTATTTAAGTATTAACAAAATGATTTTGCAACAGAGGCTTAATAGCCGTTATTAAACTAGGCTTATTCTAGTATTTTATGCTTGATGCTATACATCCAATGTTACAGAGAAGAAACAAAGTTTTCCTTTTCATGCTATCAATAACTTTGTTCTTTCCTTGAATAGGGTGTCATTTTTCGGCTTTGGGCCTTAATTAGGGTGTCAGTTTTCGCTTTCTTAGTCCTTAAATAGGGTTAGGGTTCACGAACCTCCGTGGCACACCCCTATCCAAAATTGGTGGGAGTAGCCCCCCCAGGGTGAGGGCATGCTGTAATCAGGACAAGATGTTGGGGAAGTCAAAAGTTTGTATGTTGTAATTCTTCCTAATTGAATGTATTTGTTATTTTCTCTTTGCAAACTTTAGCTAATAAACTCAAAAAAACAATACTCTAAATGTGGAGAGCACAGCAGTCCTTTGTTGCTTTTTAGAAAATTTTGACTTCTTCTGTACATTACGTGTTATTTTTTTGTTGTCGGATTACAGAAAATGAATAGAAGAACTCAGGTTTTCTGAAAAGCAAAAAGGACTGCTGTGCACTCCAGATTTAGTGTGTAGTTTCTTTAAGTTCCCTAGTTATATTTTTCAAAGGGAAAGTGACAAATATATTCAATTAGCAAGAATTAGTTGACTTTGTATTCCTGTACAAACTTTTGACTTTTTCACCCTCTTGTCCTGATTATCCATCATGCCATTACAACCGTGAAGGGGTCCATTATAAGGTAACAATCTACAATCTCAAAAGTAAGTATACTGTAATACAAACTGCCCTTCACTGAACTACAGAGTCACTATGATTGCAATACATGCACTTGATGGTAATGGTAATAATAGCAATAATAATTTGTTATAAAAAAAATTCAACTGTCTTACATATATAATTTGTTATGTTATTTGTTATCAATAAATGACCAAGTGCTAAAATTTTAATAACTTCTAAGGAGAAATATCATAGTATTTTAAGTTAGTATCATCATTCCTTAAAGAATGCCTCATGATATCAGTTATATATCAATATTATTATGAGTAAGCCTTGAAGAGACCCAAAAATTAATGTCCAATTGATAATGTTCCTGAATTGTTTGTCTGTCAGGATCCTCGCTTTCGTAATCGGGGCACTACAGATGGAGTCTTCAGGTGTCAAAGGTATTTCAGATGTAGTCCTGGAGCAGGGATGTTTGTGTCATTGGATAAAATTACCATTCCAGTTGCTGAAGAGTTCAACGTCAGAACTGGTAAGGCACAGGAAATCACATCACAGGGTCCTCTGTCAGGAATATGTCTGACAAATGATCACCTTTGGGGCCATCCTAACCTGAGATCAGGCATTATTTATTTTTTTGTTGTTGTTGTTGCTTCTTTGGCTTGAGAGGGAAAAAAGCAATGCCTGATACATTCATTTGACAAGCCGTCAACCGCTCCCTAATTTACATAATATAATATCTACTCAACCTGTCATGTTATTAGCCGATCAGCGTTTACCAGACGGGAATCAAATTTTGGTGCGTATAATGTCTCTTTTAAATTTAAGGAAAAGGAATTTAATTTTTAAATACCTCCATGTGCAGATGGCGCTAATTTCCAACAAAATGTTTTAAAGGTTTTTTTTTTCCTTTTTTGTGATGAAATACTGCTACAATGTAGCTGGAGCTGCCTTACCTTTATTTATCAGCCACAAATTAATGAATAAAGAATTTACTGGTAAAAGTTCATTGACTTTCTTCTTTCTGAGCCGAAAGCAGTGAAAAAAATGTTTAGGTTGGTGCACCATATTTCAAGAACTAAAAAGTGTTGCGAAAGCGAAGGTCGCTCAGAATAATTCACAGGTTGCTGAGGGAGAAATTACAGCCAAACCAGGTCAAGATTCCATTCATGTTGATTATATGAAAAGTGAATCTGTCTGTCGCTTCTGTAACTTGTACCCGGAATTAAATAATTTATTGCATTCAAGTCATCGGTGAATTTTTGACTGCAACTTTTTAGTATACGATGAGATGGAAAATATTTCAATGACTAAAATTTCCATTTAGACATTCTTCAAATTCAAGAAAACTGAGCCGACGGAAATTTCATAATGAAGTCGTGTGTGTATTCACTGCATGCTTATTGTGCAAGCAAAAATGCAGACTGAAATCAACAACAACTAACGGAATATGGCGTCATTTTGGCCAATCGGAACAATGCAAATCATCCGTATTGTTTTCTATCCAATCAGAAAAAAGTCCAGATTCTGGCTTTTTTGCCTGTGATCTGTAAAAGGGTAGTATCATGCCCTCCTCCTGAAAACAGATTACAGAGATAAAGGGAGAAGGCATGATCGCAGGCTAGGGCCACATCCATACATGTATTTTCAATTTTATCTATACTATCATCAGTAGTGGGGGACTAGTAGTTTTGAGGGGGGAGGGGCAGAAGAAAAAGGCATATAGGGAAGAGTTTGTCAGGGGGCACACCAAAAAACATCAACAACTTAATTTAAAGAAGACAGGAAGTCAAAGTAACTTTCATTAAGTGTTTTCTTGAATGGACACTGGAAAACTAATTAATACCTAAATTTAAGACCCTTAAAATCTAATCTATTGAATCAAGAAGTCAATTAAATCACAAAGTGTAGTCCATCAAATTATTGCAAGTCTGTTATCCATTTCTTTGAATTTAAGGTAAATTAGGCTGAGGAACAGTATAAATTTATGGCACTTCCAATTATGAAGGCCCAATTATGAAGGTGAAGGAGTGCTTTTAAAGAGAATGGTAAGGCGAACCAGTGTCAGGGAAAGAAACGAAAAAGGTTTTCATCTTTCTTGCAAAATCTGTCAGGAGCTTGTAGTCTGTCGTTAGTGATGAGGTTTTCTATTGGGCAGACATGTCATGTTCAATAAGGGTTAGGGGTTAGAATTGTGTACGAGTCGTGAAGTCGCTTTGTAGTCTCCTCTATTAAATCTTCGGTCCAGAAAACCTGATCATGAATGCACAGACTACTGGCTCCTGACAGATTTTGTAAGAAAGATGAAAACCCCTTTTGTTTCTTTCCCTGACAATTTTTTGCCTTGGCATTCTCTTTGAATGCACTCCTCCACTTGCAAAGTTTTCAAAATGGTCACCCAAGGAAGTCAAAGACTCAAACCAATCCACTTTAACTGCAAGGCCCGCAAAGAATTGTAGGCCCAAAAATAAATTCGCGATACAGCGAAAAATAATTATCAGCACCATGAGAAAATAATTCTCAATACTTGTATTAAAAATAATTCACAGTACCACTAAAAACTTATTTGTGGTACGTATGAAAAATTTATTCATACAACAACATAAAAAAAGTAAATAGCCTTAATAAAAAATAATTCATGCAGCTAAAAAAATTTAACAAGACATTTTTGTCATCACTACACAGGATTTCTTTAGTACACAACGGGTCCATAATAAATGCTGCACTGGCCAAAAAAGTCACTTGTGATGCCATTTTATTATATTAATTTTGACCAGAACGGGCCTCCATACCCAATAATTGATTTTGGGGGTGCGTGGACAGAGGTCCTTGTAGTAATTTATTTCTCAACATGCCAATTTCTCTCTTTGATTTGCAAGGAATTGTGGGATCATGCAAATGGAGAATTAGTAGCAGTTCCTCAATAATCACAGATTGAATTTTATCTTTGTAAGGCTTTAGTTAACATTACTGGGTCTTCCACCAGTGATTCTAGGATTAAAAGAAAAAAATAGGGCTTTTCACATTAAAAACACTTGACAGGGGGGAGTGGGGTGGTGGGTGGGATATTTATTTCTGTATTTAGAGTTAAATAGTCACATTATTTTGAATCTGTACACTGTTTGTACTAATACATAAACATGGGCCATTATTTAGCTCTTATTAACCCAGCGGGAGGTCTGTATGGGAGAATCTTGACTGAGGTCGCCAGTACAGACCGAATGCAGTGAGGTCTGTACCAGCGACCTAGGTCAAGATTCTCTTATACATACTGACCTAGCTCGGTTAATAAGATGTTTATTATATGGCCAAACAAGAAAGCAAAGAAACAAAAACATAGATAATTTTATTTTCTTCCCTGTGCAGGCTCAAGCATTTAGCTGGCTTTCTTCTGTTACTGGTCTTCAGTCCAAACGGAACAAAAATGACTGTTCAAAGTCCAGCTTTGTACAAACTTGGTACAAACAAGCCAATTTTTTCATATTCTTTGTTTGTAACTTTTTGAGGACAACTGTTACAACAAGATCGGTCTAGATGCCAGTCTAGATGGGAAAATCTAGACCGCAGTCAAGATTGATTTTAGCCAATCAAATACTTGAATTTGTTTGTTTCCAGTCCTTTTGAGACATGGCTATATAATAATTATTACTCATATAGATGTTGTAGTTCAATTTTTTCCTTGGTTTAAATTTTGTTTTCCTTTGTTTTGGGGTATGGTAATGTATGATAATGAGTTTTGAACAAGGGAAAACAAAATTTAAACCAAGGAAAAAGTTGAACCACAACATAGACATCAAATCATTCATATTCATCTGATATTCAGAATTTCCCCTTTAAAAATATCATGCAAACCTGCCTTTTTATTTTTGTTTTAGAGGAAAGCAGTCAGGATGATTACACTCATATTGAGAAAGAGGAAAAGCCAAGTGGAGAAGATTCTGGAATGGAAAGCTCTGGCCATTCTCTTGTTGAAGCAGAACTGTTAGCGGAAAAAAGTAGGGCTTTAATCTTGGAGGCCAAAAGTACAACAGAGGACGTAGAAGAACAAGAAAAGGAAAAGCAGCTTGAAAGTAACAGTTTGACCCGTGAGCCTGAGATTTCAGATGAAGGAGAAGTGATGGACTTTCAACAGTTGTATCTCAATGAGAAGAAGCTTCAGCATGAAGCACAGTACCAACTGAAAGAGTGTAAGTTAAAGATTTCAAGTCTTGAAAAGCATCTGGACAAAGAGCAGATCGCAAACAAGAAGCTGGTTGAGAAATGCGATGCTCTTCAGAAGGAATTAAGTCAGCAAGCACTTCTCAGAACTGATGCTGAGTTAACGATTGAGGAAGAGCATAATAAGATTCGGAAAATACAGAAATGTTTTGAGCGTGAGTGGGAGGAATTTGAGAGGCGTTTGATAGAGGAGCGTGCTGCAAAATCAGAGGCTGAGCAACAGTTGAGTGTTTTAATGAGACAACTAGAAGAAGAGAGGAATTTAAAGACAGTATTGCAAAGAGATTTGGATGCTTTACAGGAAAAGTTTAGTCGACAGCAGGAAGAGTTTGAAAAGCAAAGAAGGATTGGAGAGATGGCGTGGTCTGAGAATGCAATGCATGAAAATAAAACTCAGCCAGATGTTGAATCATCTGATTGGATTATAAGTCGCAGTGAAGTTGAAATTATAGAGGAGAGGGGTCTAGGAACTGGTGGATGGGGCGTAGTCAAGGAAGGAATGTTCCGTGGATGCAAAGTAGCTGTGAAGCAGATTCATGAGCTAATTCTCTCACCACACAACAGGCGCTTGTTTGTGAGAGAGATGAATATTGCTTCTCGATGTCGCCATCCATGTTTACTGCAGTTCATTGGTGCTACAAACGATGATGGTATACCTCTTTTTGTCACTGAACTGATGGACACCAGTTTACGAGACTTACTTGACAAAAAGCCACTTCCCAAAGCAGATGTTGTCAACATTGCACTTGACGCTGCCAGAGCCTTGAATTATTTACACTTAAATAGACCTCCCATTATCCATCGGGACATTAGCAGTGCAAATGTGTTGCTATGGAGACGAGATAACCAATGGCGGGCCAAGGTGTCGGACTATGGTACTGCCAATTTTATGAGACAATGCAAGACCATAAACCCAGGATCTGTTATATATTCAGCTCCAGAGGCTCTTTCAACTGAGCAGTCCCCAAAGGTTTGTTGTTGTTTCCTTAAATGTAGTCTTTCCAGGGCTGCCAAAATGTTTTTAAGTAGCATGCTAGTAATGAATAGAAGGCGGCTTTGGAACTCGCACCAAAGGCACAAATTCTTGAGGGCCAAGACATCTAGGGACATTTTTTGAAATTTAGAGTCTGGGAAATGGCATTTTCAGTGGTTTTCAAGAGGTATTATCCACCGGGGACACAATGCTTTTTCATCAGATTACACGCAAGACTGGGAACCATGCCGTCGAAATGTCCCCGGCGTTCCACGACATCGCACGGTTCACACGTTTCACGGGGCTAAACCTTTATAAATATGCGTTTAATTTCATTCGATGGTGCTTGATTTTTGTCCGCAGTTATAGTAGAAGAAGATGAAAGTAGCCGACTAAGGATGGCTAACTAGCCTGGGGTTTTGGCCGGCTACCGGCCCTTATTGACAGCCCTGTCTTTCCTAGCTGAAAAACCATTGATTCTCAGAACAGGGCTGCACTTAGTCTGGGAATACAGCCGTCTCTCCTTGCTTCTAATCACTAGGGGCATTTTGCAGGGCTGACATCTGCAATCCAGCCCCAGAAATTCCATACTGGACTGACATTTTTTTTTATTTTGTTTAGAATCTAGTCAACAAATGCTGATTGGTTGACGTAGTATCAGTTATATGTTAAAAAATGACAGACAAAAGACAATAGGTCACAAAAATCAAAGTAACGATGATTAATTCTACCATAATTCTTCACTTCCTATATACTCAGCTTCATTCAGTTAGTCTCGCTTGCGTGAGCAGCGAGACTCATAATCTGCAACGCGTTTTTCGTCCCTTATATAGGCTATATGGGTACGTGCGGCGCCAAAGGGTATGGTTTTTCAGCCGTTTTGGTCTGAAAATAGGGTATCAGTTTCGACCATTTTGGACTGAAATAGGGTATGGTTTGTGCACTCTAGTCTTGAATTGGGTATGTTTTTTAGAAGAATTAGCTACTTCATTATCGTTTGGCGATAAGACCGTTTCCCTTTTACGTGCCGTAACAGCTTGTCACGCGCTCCGGTCACGCGCCGGGCTCCAGGGCTTCGGGTCTGAAATAGGGTATCAAATTTTTGATCAGGTCTGAAATATGGTAGGGAAAATCACAGATTTTGGTCTGAAATAGGGTAAGGGTTTCAGGATGGGTCTGCGCACCCCCACCCAATTTTTCTGGAAGTACCCCCTGGCTTTTTGGTCATATTTGGGACACAAAAGGCAGGTCATTGTGACAGGCGTTCCTTGCGGACACCGTGGAAACTGGAACTAAGAATCGAAGCCACGCACGTTTTGCGAAGAAAGCTTAGGAAAGGTTAAATTTAGAGTCTTTCCGAAACGTGTCGGTCCACGAATTCTGTCGCTTGAAAGCGTCCATTAGTTTGGAACAAGTGAACACTACTGAGTGGTCAAAAAAAGAAAGAATCTTAATTAGCAAAACTGCGATGGTCGGGTGTTGTAAACTTTCATTGTGTGCAAATGGCTCCTGTGGTGAGCATGCGATTTATTTTCGGCGATGATTGAAATGACGTGCCATGTAAATAACTTTTTGGATCTTTGAATGATGTAATTTCGCTGGAATCGAGATCCTTGAATTTTCGTGTATTTATACACGCCTATAGCCTACGACCGCAGACGTGTTTCCGGTCGTCGCTAACACGCGTACTAAATCAATTCAGAAACAAGTAAAAAGAATGGACGTCGATAAAGTAGGAAGAAAAAAAAAATTAGCGAGTAAATCCTGTTTCGCGCAGAATTAATCGCCTCCTCATTTCTCGACCTAATCTCCAGGCAGAGCGAGCCTGAATGCCGCTGTTCGCGTTCTTGTTGATAAATAGTTTTTCGTTTGTCTAAGAGATTTTTTTTTCACACATTTACAAAATATCTTTTGCTTTTCTAGATTGATGTGTTCAGCTTTGGTTTGTTGCTGTGTGAGATGTGCATTCGTGAGCTTCCGGTCCCTAACGAGACTCAAGAACAGGTTTCTGTGATTGCAGATCAAGTCCTTAGAGACCTGGTGACCAGTTGTGTTAGACAAGAGCCTGGAGAGAGGCCAACAATGGCTGAAGTAATTACCGTATTGGAGAAAGTGGAACCAGAGATTAAAAATGATCTCAAGACAGTAGGAAAAATCTAATCATCTAGAATTGAGCACAATGATATTATATTGAAAGAGGCTAAAGAGAGGAGTGTCTGTAAGCTATGTAGTATACAGCTATTTCGAGAAAGGTTATCGGAAAAAATGTGTATGCGACAATCCCGAAAGGTAATATGGGATATGATGAATACACTGTTCCTGACACTGTAGTTGTCGAACTTACTTTTGATGCTTTCCTTTTGCAATCGCGAAATAAGTCCATGGCCTCTCGTGCCATTCTTGTAAATTTCTTTGAGGAACAGTGAACTCAAAAGCACCCACAATACCTTTCGGGATTGTCGCGTGCACTTTTCTCCGAAAGCCTTTCTCGAAATAGCTGTAATCCCAATCTATATGTAGCCATTCTTACAGGTGAACAAGGATATATTTGAGTATTAACTGTATGAGATACATTATTTCATAATTTTATCACAATGTAGTATTGCCGTCATGATCATCATCGTCATCATCATCGTTTTTAGCATCATCAGTAGAAATGGTTGCAATAGCAGTAGCTGTATCTAAATTTGTAGCCCGTTCCAAGCTCCGAGATAGTCGGGTCCGCTGAATTGAGAAAGCCTGAACACGGAAATAAAACGGGAGAAAACTTTTCGCTTACCTTTAACTTTCGCGTCTTCCCCACTGTCTGAGAGCGTGGAACAGGCTACTAAATTTGCAGCAGCAGCTGCAGCATTGAGCTTGATATGAAGGATTATGCAAAGCGTAGAAAATAACACCTGACCTCAATCTGCTTAATTGTTCATGTTATACTAATGCTGAATCCAATTATTGTTTCATTATTCACTCAAAATGTTAAACACAGAGAAGCCAAATAAATACGTACCTTTNCAGGTGAACAAGGATATATTTGAGTATTAACTGTATGAGATACATTATTTCATAATTTTATCACAATGTAGTATTGCCGTCATGATCATCATCGTCATCATCATCGTTTTTAGCATCATCAGTAGAAATGGTTGCAATAGCAGTAGCTGTATCTAAATTTGTAGCCCGTTCCAAGCTCCGAGATAGTCGGGTCCGCTGAATTGAGAAAGCCTGAACACGGAAATAAAACGGGAGAAAACTTTTCGCTTACCTTTAACTTTCGCGTCTTCCCCACTGTCTGAGAGCGTGGAACAGGCTACTAAATTTGCAGCAGCAGCTGCAGCATTGAGCTTGATATGAAGGATTATGCAAAGCGTAGAAAATAACACCTGACCTCAATCTGCTTAATTGTTCATGTTATACTAATGCTGAATCCAATTATTGTTTCATTATTCACTCAAAATGTTAAACACAGAGAAGCCAAATAAATACGTACCTTTCATAGGGAAAACTTTACTCCAAAGCGAAGAATCGTAGCTCTAACCATAGTCTCTCACGTAGCTGTTTTTGTCTAGTTACGCAACGCTCGGGGCGTTGCGTGACGATACAAAAGCGGTTGCATTGGAGACCACCTACCATGCGAGCCCAGTGGTTTCTTTCCGGCCTGGCCTTTAGCATTTAGGAAGTCTTTCACGTCGCTTGTCAGTCGCGTGGTTGGTTCATTTACGCTCCAATCGTAGTAGGGACTATCTTAACCGAAGATGTAGCGGAGATCTCGACTTGACTCATTCCAATTTTCTCGCGGCTTTACAACCTAAAAAAAGACGACAAACTAAAATATTATCCTGGGAGCTAAGCAGTTGCGCGTGATAGATACTGCCAGCGTTTTGTAGGTAACGCTCGTCTGAAGGTGCTTTCCTTTTGGGATGATCAGGATCAGGATTCGTCGGTTTCTTTGATGCTCTATGACCGCGGGGATCTCGGATCATTGATCCTAATTAACTGATCATCCCAAAGGAACGCACTCTACACAGGATAAGCTGCAATCAGCTTTTGTGGGGGATGGGTATTGAAAGTTGGGTCGGTTGTATTTATAGAGTACTTGAAATTAGTTGTAGTCATGAAGGTGAAGGTGATAAATATGGTAGGTTTTCGAATGTTTCTCGAATAGTTTTTTTATGAAGCTTTCAATTTGCCCTTGTAGACAAAGCACCCTGGGCCCAGTTGTTCGAATGCCGATTAGATTAAATTTTAACCCGGGTGTCTTTTTCCTTTCATCAAACGCATTTTCTCGGACAATTTTCTTTGTTTTTTTAGAGTAGCCAATTATCAAATTGTTGACAAATAGAATTAAACTGAATTTGCCTTTTAAGCTTTCATATCTGAATTCAAATTTCGAACTGGGTTATCATAACCCAGCTTTGAACAACCCGGCCCTGAAGATCAAAAAGGAATACCGTGGGCTGGGAAGTTCAAAAATGATGTTTTTGTGACGTTGTTCATATTTTTCAAAGTTCTTTATAGCATGTTAAGTTAAATGTCAGGTAGTTTCTAGTTAGTCTTAAATTAGAATTAGGTAAGAAATATTTGGAATAAAGCCGTTAAAAGACAAAAGGATGTGGTAGGTTGAAATGATAGTGGCAAATGAAGCTAAATGAAAATCGACTAAGGTTGGTTATAATCGAACATCATTCTCTGTCAAGTTAAGTACGTAAAAAAATGCATTTATTTTGCGCTATTCTTTGAATTTATTAAATTAGTTGGGTCGTATAAAGTTAAATAATGCTCGGTAGGTTCCTTGTAAGACTTAATTTAAGAAAGGTAAGAACACATACGTAAGATAAAAATTATATTCATAGGGATTAGAAAGTCAATTTGTAACAACGGATAGGAGCAAGCACATGGGGCTTATTAAATTGTTTCTGAAAGATGAACAAGTTTGTAAATCCTGATTTATCACTGATATACTCGTGCGAATCATTTAGATCGCGTCAGTCGTCTCGGAATGTGCGCAGGCAAGAGCCATCATGGCTCTTGGTTCAGCAATTTAATTTAAACCCCTCTCACGCGACGCATGACGAGCCAGACGACTTAAGCGATCGTCATATTGACCGAGCTGATATTAAAAATTATGTAGGGCAGGAGCATTTTGAAATTGCATTATGCCCGGATACTGAAAGCTTAGTAGCGGGTTTTGAGAACAATCCGATAAGCAATTGAGTCACTCTCTCACTCTGGTGTAGACAGTGCGCCTACCTTCAGACCTGTACTGTCGATGTATTGAGCGTTCGCCCTTGGGGATCGGAATAGCTTACTGACGAAGTTGACCGTTTAGTACGGGTTTGACAAACGCAAGAGTTATTCAAAACAAATGAGGAAAAATTGACCTTAAAGTGTCTCTACCTCTTCATGTAATATGAACAAAAAGGAAGGAAGCAAAAGACTACTTAACTCCACACACAATGTAGTGTTGCACTAGTGTGGTACCTCTTGTCAAAGTGACCGTTGGCTTTGGGGGGTGGGGTAGTATTCCAGATTTCAAGTGACAGGGATGATGGAAGGATTTTTTGGGGTACGAAAATTTTGGCAAGGATGTCTTTGGTAACTTGATTTAAGTAGGGAATTTTGCGGTATTCATGACAAATGTTTCTACTTTTACGTTATATCATTTAATGCTTTCTGGAAACTTTTATGGCTAGGAAATTCGGCATGGGATTTTTGGGGGGTTAAATTTTGGTCCAGGGATTTTTTAAGGGGTTTTGATTTTTGCCCCCATTCGATCATCCCTGTCACTTAAAAATCCGGATTACCCCCCGCCCCCCACCCACCCCTTGTTTTCTGCTACCAATCAGGAGAGACCTTACGAGCGGCTCCTACACTGTAACTGCTCGGAAGAGGTGACCGCAACCGCTTAATAGAGATGATCGCTTTAATAAAGATCCGGTTTTCAGTAATCAAGGAAAATGATTTCTGGGACTTTCGTGAGTGAACGCGGTTAATAGAGGTTCGCTTAATACAGGTTTGACTGCAGCTTATACACCCCAGACTCGAGAGGCCGACATAAAAACGACGATTTGGTTGTCACCGAACTCGCTGTGATCAAAATTCACTCCGCTCTGTATCGTTCCCAGACTTTGCATTCTAGTGATTTTGTAGCTTTTACTAGCTGATTAGGGGTTTTATTAAGCTCAAGAGGAGTAACATTGGTGCAATGGACAACTTGGAAACTAAACTTCATGAACCCTGTCCCGGTACTAAAGATGACTATTAGATGCATATTATTTTACTCTTCGATTCCTCAAATTGACTTCACGAAGGTTGCCAACTGTTGCTTTAGAAATAAGCCAATGTTTTGTGCAAATGTACGAAACCTGTAAACGAAACACGGTATTTTTTTCCTTCTTTTTATAACGAATTGAAAAGTGCGTTTACTGCAGACTGAAATTGAAAACATTGGGTGCAAGTTTGATTCTGCGCAGAAATTACCGACCTTTATCAATATATGACGCCGATTAAACCCCGGGGGGTACTTCCTTATATAAGCCATATGTATAGGCATGTGTTGCCCCAAGGGGTATGGTTTTTGCGCCGTTTTGGTCTGAAAAAGAGTATAAAATTTCCCTTTTTGGTGTGGAATCGGGAATGGTTTTTGAAAGAACTACGAGAGTACGTATTTGTCGTTTCACTGATTCCAAGTGATCAAGAAAGAAAGAGAAATATGCGAATTCGAAAAGAATTTTAAGAAATCGTCTTTAGTAAGGTTCTAATCTAAGTAATGATGACAATTTCTTAGAGGCCAGGTCCGAAAACGGGTATGGCCAGGCAAGATTTGAAAACGGATGTGAAAAGGGGCATGTTTTGGTCTGAAATAGGGTCAGGATTTGGAGAACTGACCGGGCGGCACAATCTTACTAAGAATTCCCATTAGTACTCCCCAGGATTAAACATAGCAAGGTTGCAGCTATGCACTGGACAGCTGTCTTGATTAAAACTGTCTTCAAATATTATGAAAACGCATTTCGTTGATTTCTAGAATGATATTTGTTTTAAGTTGATTTCTTGGTAAAAGAACCTAACATAGATTGTAGATGAAACTTGGTTCACTAATGTAACAGGTTAAAAAAAAATGATAAAAATTAATGAAAAGTGGGGGTCACCATGCTCGTTTTCAC